CAAAGTCGCGACCACCACGCCACGCCCACTTCGGCCTTTTTCACTGGCCGATCGCGATCCGCCGTCGGATCGCATCCGACGATCGCCTGGCCGTCTCGCCTGAACAAAAGGATCGACCGACCGCGTCGACCGAAAACCCTAGCTTCATTCCTTTCGTTGCTCTCTCTCTCTCTCTTCGCCTTCTCTTCGCCGCTCTCTCCTCTCTCATCGCAATGTGACACCGCGGGCGATCGAGCAACAACTCTGGCGGTGGGAGCGAGACATCCATGTCGCCGCCGCCCCCCCATCATTGGCGCGCGTGCTGCTCTCTAATAGGTGAGCACGCCGCCGCCTAGCGACTGCAGCTGGCGCCCTTTGGCCGAGTCCGTGAGCAATACCCTCCTCGCTCGGCCTTCTTCTTCTCCCCTTGCCGAAGGGCCATCCAGCGCACGGTAGGTAGGTCCGTTCCTCTTTTCCCCTTCTCTGATTTGGATTTCTTTTCTCTTATTCGAACCGGTGATGAGGATTGGGGTTTGTTCTAGGGTTAGGGTTCAGAATCCGACCTTACCCTTCTCTGATTTGCTTTTGAATCTTCTTTCTTTTCTTTTTGAATCTGCTTCTTTCTACGGATTCAACCAATTGAGGTAGGTTTCATTTTCTTTTGATTTCTTTTTCTTTTCGGAGTTCATCCGAATGGTTTTCCCCTTTTCCCTTTCTCCATGCGAGTTAGGGTTTGGGTTGGGTTGAACCTGTTTTGTTTTGATTCGAGATCGAGATGCTAGGGTTCACTGTTCTTCCCTGAGACTGATTCCTTCCCCTTCTTCCCTCTTCCCCTTCTTCTTTTGGGATCAACCCGATTTGGGATGGGGTTAAAATTAGGGTTAGGTCTTAGGGTTCGGCCAAATCCGAACCCACTCTTCTTCTTTCTATTGTTTCTCTTCCCATTGAAGGCTTTTACGGGTTTAGGGTTAGTGAACCCCTTCTCTGTTCAGATCCATAAGGAACTCTTTTCTTTTCTTTCCACACCGACACTTTTCCCCGCGCGGTGGCGGTGGTGATCGGGGTTCTAGTGACGTCCGCCACCCCCGGTCCCTTTTCCGTTTCTTTTACCCGATTAGGGTTAGGATTACACACTGGCAACCTGGCTCTGGTACCAATGTTAGGATCATAGATTACCTCTCTCGTAATCAGAGAACCGGGTAGACCTCTCACTTTGGGTTCCTCTCTCACACACCTTGATCAGTAGCCTCATGGGACGCCGGTGCCATGGTGTAGTAGCCTCCAGCGGTGGAGATGAAGTCCAAAGTGGCTGGTGAAGACCGTGGTGACCTCGCAGAGGAGACGGGTGTGGTGGATGGGCTTCCCGTCACCGGGCAAAGACTACTTTGATCGGTTTAGGTTTACTGTGGGTGGGATGGCGGCGGCTTCGTTGAACATCGTAGCACGAGCCCTGATCCCCACCTTACCTTTTATCTATGTTGTGCGACAGGGGCCCACCAACCGTATTAGGGTTGGGCTCCCCCGATCAGGGAGCAGAGACAAAGGCCCAATAGCCCGTTGGTGGAGATCAACTAACACGTATATCCGTTCCAGGAACTGACGCCAACCAGAGTTTCACTAGCAGGTACTGCCTAACTTACCATCTTCCAGATAGGCCCAACAAAACTTCACACCAACTAGTAGGAGTACTACTGTCTTGTTTAGTTCCTCGTTTTAAAGTTTACTCCATCGATTGTTTTAAAGTTTACTCCATCGAATGTTTGGAGACATGGAGTATTAAATATAGACTAAAAAATAATTAATTATATAGTTTACGATTAATTTACGAGACGAATCTTTTAAGCCTAATTAATCCATGATTTGACAAAGTGGTGCTACAATAACACATGTACTAATGATGGATTAATTATGCTTAATAAATTCGTCTCACGGATTACTGACGGATTTTGTAATTTATTTTTTATTAGTATCCGAACACCCCATACGACACCTGATATGATACTGAATCTTTATGCCCTAGATTTAAACAAGACTAACTTTAGAGCTACGAGCAATTGAGAGACGGAGAGACCACTAATTATTCCTTACACACGATCTAGAGAACATGAAGGCCATCAGTCTCAAATACAGTTTACAGGCCAGGTAACAACAAAACAAGTTCTGGGGACAACGTGGATCCTGTCTGATTTTGTTTATAAAAAATCGACTGATAGATGTTTCTACTGACAGTGATCAAGCTCAGTAATGTCAAGGATCTGGTTACTACTAGATAAACTGCAAGTTTTTTTTAGCCTCTTATCTGGAGGCAGTTGTACTGATTGGGGAAAAAACCCCGGTGGGAAATCACGCGCCGAGCAAGGCTCGAACACGCGACCGGTTGCTTCCGGAGCGCTCACCAACCGAGCTACGGCTCGGTCCCCAGAAACTGCAAGTTGTTTGCTTGTATAGCAAGGAGAAAGAAAAAGACCGAGGAGAGCTAGCTGCTTGGTTACAAATTACTGTCTTCTAGAAGTCGGTGAACACACTGGAGACTTTGACATCGCAAACTTGAGCAAAATGGAGATGCAGCTCCCATAACAGAAGAAAACAAAACAGAGTGTGCTAACCATACGAGCATACTAAGTAAGTAAGCAAGCAGGGCTTTGTTTAGTTCCCGGGTTTGGGAGTGGCTAAATAATTAATGCGTACTGTAGCATTTCATTTATATATGTGAATTATTATTCAAACATTAACTAATTATGCTCAAAAGATTCAACTCGTAAAGTACAACCAAACTGTGCAATTAGTTTTTGATTTCGTCTACATTTAATACTCCATGTATGTACCGCAAGTTTGATGTGATGGAGAATCTTCTTTTTGACATAGTGTCTTTTAAAAGTTTGGTGGGAACTAAACCTGGCCCAGGATGACAAGAGCGAGTGGGTGGAATAGTATAAGAAATTAATTTCACAACGACAAAAGCTCCCATCTACTTAAAAATTGCAAAATTTAGAGGTCCATGATGTCCTTTGTTTTGGATCGAAAAGAAAAAAATTAGCATAACCGAAAGCTCAATTATAGGATTAAAAAATACTTTAAAATTTTAAAATGATATGAGACTCCAAATCCAAGAAAATAGGTCATGTTTGATCCTCAATCCATCCCAAATGATAAGACGTTTGACTTTTTTGACATCAAGTTTGACCACTCGTCTTATTCAAAAATTTGTACAAAATATCACTTTTTTGTCGTGGATTGTTTTATTAATAAAAGTTCTTCAAGAATGACTTAAATTTAACTATGTTTGCATAAATTTTTGAATAAGACGAGTGGCCAAACTTAGAGTCAAAAAGGTCAAACGTCTTATAATTTGGAATGGAGGCACTATTTAGCATCTGAATGAAAATTTTCAAGATTTTTAGAGGTTCCTAGGTCCTTCACTTTGAATTGACAAAAAAATAGTCTAGAACAGTCACGCCAAGCAAGACGGCCTCACTAAGCCTATGTCACGTCAGCAACAAACGTAGAAAGTGTTCACGGTGTTGTCATCGTGTGCATATATACTTAGTCACGCCAGTACTTGTTGTATGATGGAATTGGGTTATTTATACCGCATGTCTCTTGGCTTGACGAAAAGGTTATTTTTTATAAAAAAATAGCTTGGCACATGATGCTATTAAAATATTAGTTTTTAAGTGATAGTTTACAAATTGCATAATGAACATTTTTCACCTTTGCATTTATATCATTTAAGGCCCTCTTTGGACTGCAGGAAAGTTTGCTATTTCTTGAGTTTTTTTATGTGAAAATAAATTTATTCTTGTTGAATTTCTACGAAATTTCTGCTTTCCAAAAGCAGCCTAAAAGTATAATAGAGTTGTAAATTGGGCATAGCTCAGATGGTTAAATTCCTTAGGGCACTACCAATGCAAAAACTATAGTAGTTTCTATAGATATTAATTGCACTATCACATATGCAATTTGCTGATGTGGCAAATGATTTAATGAGGAGAGAGAAAATCTAAGAAACTAGGTCTAACTAAGAAATTAGGTTTTCACGGTTATCGATGGATAAGAAACTACTCGTAGCCCATTGAGAGAGCAAACATGGTTTCTATCACTACTTATGTCCTATCCTGTATAAAATTTTACACTGAGAAGGATAGTTTCTTGATACGATATCCTGTACTATAGAAACTACGGATAGTTTCTTGCATTGAGAGTGCCCTTATGGTGAAACTATTTGGGTTCAAGTCAAGCGAGCATGGACTTTGATTGTGAATTGGTCACTATAGTTTTAGCCAAATAGTACTAAACATTTCTGATGTACATGTATAAATAGTCAAATATACTTGCCCCTCTTGTAACCAATACAAGATCTTTGTCTTTAGATCTAAGAGTCTTGGCTTTCGTTGTCAAAACTACAAATGCCGGAACTCCCGGTCCACTGATATATTATTTTAACGCAAGTAGCTAAGGACAACTCCGTCCTGTTTGGATGGCTGAAAAACAGGTTAATACTGATTTGGTGTGAGAGAAAAACATTATTGTTTTACTAAAATGGTACGGTCGATCAGTTCAAACAAACATGGCGTCGAGTTCCACTTCTACACTGCCTACATTGTATGGCGCCCGCCACAGATAGAGGAAGGGCATGTTCGCTGGTTGGTGCTGGTGCTGGTTTGGACTGGCTGATGCTAATTTTTTAAAGAAAAATACTATTGACTGGCTGGTTTGGATTGACTAAAACCAATAAGGGAGCAGGCTGAAAATCTCAAGGTCAAAGTAGATTCCCAAATCCTATCCAGACTTCAATATCCATCCGTGGAGCAGCTAGCAATCTCATCCTGTCCGACAAGAAAGTAAATTAGTCAGCTACTTCGCCGTCAGGGCAGTGAGCACCTCTAGAAAAATGTGACAGCGAAGCTAGCAAGCCATTTCCACAGCAGCTCTGACCTCTGAGGGCTGAGGCCACAGGCAGGCTATAGTTCCCTGTCTTATCTCCTTTCCTGGTTGACCAGCCGTGCGCCCGTGCCTCAGAGATGGACAACGGATCCGAGAAGCAGATCGCCGTTCTGTACCCCGTCGGCGGCGTCGGGCACATCGGCCCGATGACGCAGCTCGCCAAGGTCTTCCTCCGCCACGGCTACGACGTCACCATGGTGCTCATCGAGCCGCCCATCAAGTCGACCGACTCCGGCGCCGGCTTCATCGAGCGTGTCGCCGCCTCCAACCCGTCCATCACCTTCCACGTCCTGCCGCCGATCCCTCCCCCGGACTTGGCCAGCTCCACCAAGCACCCTTTCCTCCTCATACTGGAGCTGATGCGCCGGTACAACGAGGAGCTCGAGAGCTTCCTCCGCTCCATCCCCGGGAGCGCCTGCACTCCCTCGTCATCGACCTGTTCTGCACCCACGCCATCGACGTGGCAACGAAGGTGGGCGTCCCTGTCTACAAGTTCTTCGCCTCAGGCGCCGGGACTCTGGCCATCTTCGCCCAGTTGCCGGCGCTGCTTGCCGGCAGACAGACGGGCCTCAAAGAACTTGGGGACACGCCCCTCGAGTTCCTTGGGGTCCCGTCCATGCCGGCGTCCCATCTCGTCACGTCGCTGCTGGAGAGTCCGGAGGACGAGCTGTGCAGGACCATGATGCAGATCTTGGAGCGCCACGCGGACACCCACGGCGTTCTGGTCAACACGTTCGAGTCGCTGGAGAGCCGGGCCCTGCAGGCGTTGAGGGATCCCCTGTGCGTTCCCGGCCAGGTGCTGCCTCCAGTTTACTCCGTCGGGCCGTTGGTTGGCACGGGCTTGACGATGGACAAGCAGGAAGGAGGTTCTAGGCACGAATGCCTCGCGTGGCTGGACGCGCAGCCAGAGCGCAGCGTGGTGTTCCTCTGCTGGGGAGCAAGGGCGCCCTACCAAAGGAGCAGCTCAAGGAGATCGCCGTTGGCCTGGAAAGATGTGGGCAACGGTTCCTATGGGTCGTGCGCACGCCGGCAGGCAGCGACGGGCCCAGAAGATACTGGGAGCAACGTGCCGAGGCGGATCTGGACGCGCTCTTGCCGGAGGGCATCTTGGAGCGGACCAAGGGCCGCGGCCTCGTCGTCACGTCATGGGCGCCGCAGGTGGATGTGCTCAACCACCCCGCTACGGGCGTATTCGTCACCCACTGCGGGTGGAACTCGACGCTGGAGGCGATCGCGGCGGGGGTGCCGATGCTGTGTTGGCCACTGGCGGGCGCGGAGCAGAGGATGAACAAGGTGTTTGTAACCGAGGACATGGGCGTCGGGGTGGAGATGGAGGGCTACATGGCAGGTTTCATCAAGGCTGAAGAAATAGCGGGAAAAGTTAGGCTAGCGTTGGACGCCGAGGAGGGGACGAGGCTTAGGAAACGAGCAGTGCAGCTGAATAAAGAAACGCAGGAAGCGCTGGAGGACGGTGGCTCGTCGCAGGCGGCATTTCTCCGATTCTTGTCAGATGTTGCAAGTCTTTAGAGAGTAGCTTCGGAAGCGATGTACTCGCTCGCCACCACCGCCAATGGTGTCTCTATTGTCGTGTCGAGCCACGGCTAATTGCCTCGCTCGCCACCACCAACAACCAACATTCCTAGTCGTCCCTATGTGCAAACCAAACACAGGAATGCGCCGCTCCTGCCCCGAAACAGGAGCGACATCGGGCGACGACGTCCCTCCCGCCTGAAGAGCAACGCTCTTCTTGGGCGCCAGCGCCAAAGAACGGCCCCGTCGCAAGACTCTGCAAGAGTTAAAAGGCATAAGGTCACGCTGAAAAACAGAAAAACAGAGAAACAGAAAAAACAGAGGAATCGGTGACTTACGCTGGCGCTGTTGGGCAATAGGAATGTTTTGGGGACGAACCCTCAGTTTCCTGCTCCAATTCGTCTGGGCGGGATCATTTCGATCCTGCCCCCTGCTCCCAGGCAGAGGGGCTCGTCTCCCTTTCCTCCAGGGGGCGGGCGGCGGAGCCACCCCTCTCTGTCGGCACCTCAGGCACGGCAGCAGTTCCGCCTCCCCCCATCCACCGGTCCTCCACCGGCACCCCGGGTGTGGCGGCGGATCCGCCGGCTCCCATCGGTCCTGAGGACGGGCCGATTGTTTGGCCCATCTCCGCCGGCCTCACGGACTCACTTCCCTTTGCATGGAACGGAAGGGTCCCTGCGTGGTCAAGTGGGTGCCTGTCAGCGTATCCTCGCTCTCCAGGACATCCCACTCCACATCGGCAACTACCTCGTCAAACTCCTCCTCCTCGTCGTCGTCACACCGCTGTCTCACTCTCCTCGTTCCCGTGCTTGATGCTTCCGTAGCATCTTCTTCCTCTTGAGCTCCTTCGTCTTCCTGTCCCACTCGGCCGCGGTGCAATTCGCCGTCGCCACGATCCGATCCTTCGACAGCGGAGCCGGGCTATCCCCGAAGACGAGTCTCTTTGGCTGGTCCCGCTATCCCGAGGTCAGCATCAAGGGACCGGGAATTCAAGAAAAAGGAGGCACGGGAAAAAAAACTTACAAAATCAATGAACCCCGGTTCTGGCCGCATTGGGGGATGCCCCGGCACCGGATACACGAAATCAAGGACAACGCCGACGTTGTCCTTCGAAGGCTCCATCGCCTCCTTGATGCACTGCACCACTTCTGTGGGGGGAGCGCTTCGTCGACAAGTGTCGTCCCTTCGAGCGACGCCCCGGGCGCCATCAGGTACAGGGGAAGCGCGTGGCTCATCAGCGGCGCCACCCTGCGCGTATGATAGGCGCCGATGATCCCCGATCCCTTCACGCCCCTCTCCTTCAGAATTTGGAGGGCGGCGAGATGGCCCTTGATCTTCTTCTTGTCTTTGTCCGGGACACCCCACTTCCACGGCCCTAGGACCTCTTCGATGATGCGCTCGGAGAACACCGGCAAGGGGGCGGCAATGTCGTCCTTGACGTAAAACCAATGCGAATGCCACCCCTTGTTGGAGGTCGACAGATGCATCGATGGGTATTCGTTCACCTGGTTGTTGCGGAGATGAATGCTGGCACATCCCATCGGCACGCTCAGCTCTTGCTTCCCAACCCGCTTCTTCGACAGGTTGACGACGAAGAGATACCGCCACAGGTCGAAGTGGGCACTAATCCCCAGGAACCCCACACACAAGGCGACAAACGCCGCATTGTGCTGGACCCCATTGGGAGTAAGGTGCTGCAACTCCACCTGGTAGTAATCCAACAACCCCCAAAGGAACTTGTGAGCAGGTATGGCGAATCCCCGCTCATGGAAGTGAGCGAAGGACACGACATACCCTTCGGGCGGTGACGGCCCATCCTCATTACTAGGCAGCCACCACTCCTCGGCGGCGGTCAGTGGGAAAAGGAGGCCACGGCAAATGAGGTCCTCTAGGCGCTGAGGGGTGATGTCGGATCTGCACCACGGCTCCATTGAAATGAGTGGGAGGGGGGCGGATGCGAGCTTGACGGCGGCTGCGATGCGAGTGCGGAAGGCTCAGGCGATTGGCGGCGGAGGTTGTCGATGCGAAGGCGAGGAGGCAAAGTACGGAACCCTAGGGGCGAACCCCTTGGTTTTATAGGGGCGACGGATGCGAGAAGAGCAACCGCCCGCCTAAGTCTCCGAGCCTGCCACGATACACCACCATGTTACATCGCGGGATATGCACCCACGATCCCTATCCTTTCCCACCAAAATCGCGCCGGACGTTTCGCCTTCCCAAGCAGACCGGGACTCTTTTCCCACAGAGGGGATATGGGTCAAAAAGCGTTTCTCCGGCCCGCCTGGGCCCAGGAGTTCGGGGGCTGGCCCAACAGTTTCGACGACTGTCCCAACGAGGGATGGCCCCGCGAGCGACCAGAACTCAGGCACACAAGCCTCAAGGGAGTCTCGATCCGCAATCGAGTCTCATCCGGGCAGACCCAGGATGAATCCCCACGAACAGGATACCAGGGTTCCCTTTAAACTACCCAGTTGTCAAAAACTAAATCTCACAGCCTTACCCACGAAGGGCCGAAATTACCCCCTGGGCGATTCTATCCGAATCACCCGGGGGCTCAGGGGCTACACCCGACGGGTGCGCTCGCGCGCACCCTCTGGCGAATCGGAATACCCTTCGAGCGATTCTGCCAAAATCACCCAGGGGCTCGGGGCCTACACCCGTCGGGTGCGCTCGCGTGCACCCTCTGGCGAATCGAAATACCCCCGAGCGATTCTGCCAGAATCACCCGGGGGCTCGGGGGCTACACCCGTCGGGTGTGCTTGCGCGCACCCGGGGGCTACTATCGGGGACCTAATACCGTGGTACCCAATGAGGTGGAGCTAATAACCATCGAACGATGACGCTTCCGGTCAGACAAGAATGCTACTACACTTCTTGCCCGAACGACGGAAGATTGATTCTGCCTCGCCCGACCCCCGAGGGACTAGACTCCGCCTCGCCCAATGGCTGAGGGCTGGCTCCACCTCGCCCGACCCCCGAGGGCTAGAGTCTGCCTCGCCCAACGGCTGAGGGTTGGCTCCGCCTCGCTCGATGACTGCGCCCTGCTCCTTCATGATGATGAGCACGAGGTAAGACAGGACATTCGAGTCAACCGCAGTACCAAGGACCATACCCTGCACGTATGCAGAAAAGTACCATCAGGCTACGACGGGACGGGCGCGTTAAGCCCTTCCAGGTATGGCAGAACCCAAACAGTGTTGTAGGCACCGACTTTGGTCTTACAGTGTTGTGGGCGCCGTCATCAGCCCTTGGACGCAGATCCTGACACAAGCATGCGACAACCACTACGATCCAAGATAGAACTCACATCATCTACAGTGACGAGTGTATGGTCACTTCCCCGTCTACTCCCCGAAGGGTCACAGCTCGGCTCTCTCGCACGCCACACCGTCCGCCGGTGTAGGATGGGACGCACCCACTTGCTGAATGAGGCAAGGGCATGGCCCTATGAGGATCAGCGAACACGCCATCCCTGACATGGTCTGCCATGTTAGCAGGGCAAGCACAGGGGAAAAGGAAGACCCGGCTCCTTCGAAGGACCTTTTCTACCCTCTGGTTTTTTCCTCTTTCTCCCGTCTGTAATCCCTGCTCCCCCTTGGTCTATAAAAGGGGTGATAGGGCACCCCACTAGAGACGACGGATCAATTCCACAGACAACATACAGCCAAGAAGCAACCGAGCTCTTAGCATCCTTTCGACCTTTCTATCAGAGACTTAGGACCTGTCCATCTCTCGACCATTTGTACCCCCTACTATGAACCTTTTTCGGTACTAATAACACGAGTAGCAGCGAACTGGACGTATGGACGTTTTGCCCGAACCAGTATAAGCCTTGTGTCCTTTAGTACACCATCCGAGCCTAACGCGCAACAAATATAAATTTATTAGTTGGTGTTTGTTCGAAACACCGACAGTATGTGACGCATGTCAACTGGGCAAGAATCATCAGTTGCCTTACCCTAGGTCGACTAGTGTGTCATCTAGTCCAATGGACTTCATTTTTTCTGATGTATGGGGGGCTGCCCCAACTTCTATTGGTCGACACAATTATTATATCAGTTTTATTGATGATCATAGCAAGTTTACTTGGCTTTACCTTTTGCACCATAAATCTAAAGTTTTCCAATGTTTTTGCGACTTTCAAAATCTTGTTGAATGGCAATTCGGTCGCAAGATTCTAGCTATTCAGATGGATTGGGGAGGGGAGTATCAAGCACTAAACTCCTTCTTCCAGCGCATCGGCAATGAACACCACGTCTCATGCCCTCATGCTCATCAGCAAAATAGGTCCACAGAGTGTAAGCACCAACACATTGTTGAGATGGGTCTTACACTTCTTGCTCATTCATCTTTACCACTTAAATTTTGGGATGAAGCTTTTTCCACTGCCGTATTCCTCATTAATCGACTTCCTTCCAAAGTCATCAACGATGAAACCCCTCTTGAGTGTCTCTATGGGCGCAAACCTGACTACAATTTTCTTCGCACCTTTGGATGTGCGGTTTGGCCAAATTTGAGACCCTATAATGCTAAGAAACTTTAGTTTAGATCCAAACAATGTGTGTTTCTCGGGTATAGTAACTTGCATAAGGGTTTTAAGTGCCTTGATCCAAAACAGGGCCGAGTCTACATATCTCGTGATGTTGTGTTTGACGAACATGTTTTTCCATTTGCCTCACTCCATCCAAATGCCGGTGCCCGTCTTCGCTCCAAGCTTGATCTTCTTCTAGACGTCTTGAAAAATCCATCTTCTACTTTTGGGGATGCAATTTTGCATTATCAGCATTTAGCTTCTCCTACTAATACTAATGCACTGTCAAGTTCAGGTGGTATTTTTGATGGAACAGGAACAAACGTGGCACAAAATCCTCAAGAATTGGCGCAACAACATCTTCCTCGGGATCGCCTGACGTTGCTCCCCGATCTGCTGGCGCTGGCACGTCTTCCTCGGGATCGGTGAGTCAGCTGTTGTCACAGCCACAACAGTCCCTCGCGCTTTAGGCCACAGGTGATGCTACCCAGATCTTCTGCGCTGACTGTCTCGTCGCACGCCTCACCCTCTCTCGTCTTCGATCCGCAGATAGATCCCCACGAGGGGGAGACAGTGATGGCGCTGGGTTCCACGAAGATTTTGTCTCCGGGATCATCTGTGGATGCTGCTCCTGGTGCCGCTCCTGGTGCATCACCTAGTGCTGCTCCTACGGCCACAACGACACAATGGCCCTTGACTAGACTTCAACAAGGCATCAACAAGCCCAAGACCTACACCGATAGTACGGTGCGTTGGTGTATGCATGCCAACTCCTATACAGATGAACCCACAACACTTGGTGAGGCTCTTGGTGATCAGAATTGGCATGGGACAATGGACAGTGAACATCAAGCTTTGCTACGAAATAAGACGTGGCATCTTGTTCCTCGTCCCAAGGGCAAGAATGTCATAGGATGCAAGTGGGTTTACAAGGTGAAGCGCAAGGCAGATGACACTATTGATCGGTACAAGGCACGTCTTGTTGCAAAAGGCTTCAAGCAACGATATGGCATAGATTATGAAGATATGTTCAGTCATGTGGCCAAGGCCGTGACTATAAGTCTCATCATGTCAATAGCAGTCTCAAGAGGGTGGTCTCTTCGGCACTAGATGTTCAGAATGCATTCCTCCATGCAATCTTGGAGGAAGAAGTCTATATGCAACAACCACCAGGGTATGCAGATGAGGCACATCTGAATTATGTTTGCAAGCTAGACAAGGCGCTGTATGGGTTGAAGCAGACACCACGGGTGTGGTATGCAAGATTATGCAAGAGGTTAGAGGCTCCTGGCTTTGTTCTATCAAAAGCTGATACCTCTTTGTTCTACTACAACCGTGGAGGGTATAGCCTATTTGTGTTGGTTTATGTGGATGCCATTATAGTTGCTATCTCATCACAGGAAGTAACAGAAGCATTACTTAAAGATTTGCAGAAAGATTTCGCATTGAAAGATTTGGGAGAGTTACACTACTTTCTGGGGATAGTAGTCAAGAAGACATCAGATGGGTTAGTGCTCTCTCAAGGGAGATATGCGGCTGGTATTCTCACCCAGTTAGGGATGGACAAGGCAAAGATCGTTGATACCCCTTTGTCCACCTTAGAGACGCTTAGCCTTGCAGATGGTGACAAGCTTGGACCAGAGGACTGTACCCGGTATAGAAGCTTAGTTGGAGCATTGCAGTATCTCACACTTACATGACCAGACATATCATTTGCCATGAATAAAGTGTATCAGTTCCTTCATGCCCCAACTACGGTTCATTTGAGCGCTGTGAAGAGAATCCTCAGATATGTTCGTGGGACTGTTGGCGTTGGGCTCAAGATCAAGAAGTCTAAGTCCATGATGGTTAGTGCATTTTCTGATGCGGATTGGGTAGGATGTGTTGATGACCGAAGATCAACGGAGGGTTCGCTGTGTTTCTTGGAGATAACTTGATCTCATGGATGGCCAGGAAACAAGCTACTGTCTCTCGGTCAAGCACATAAGCTGAATACAAAGCACTAGCCAACGCTACAGCTGAAATGATGTGGGTTCAGAAGTTGTTGATAGAACTACACATCCAGCATCCTCCTGTGGCTCGGTTGTGGTGTGACAACCTGGGTGCTAAGTATCTTTCTGCTAATCCGGTGTTTCATGCCAGGATGAAGCACATAGAAATTGATTTCCATTTTGTCGAGAGAGAGAGAGAGAGTGGCTCAACGATTGTTGGATATACGGTTTATCAATATCGGTGACCAACTAGCGGATGGGTTCACTAAAGCTATTCCTGATGCAAAGTTGAAACAATTTAGAGTCAATCTTAACCTTGTTAGTGGCTAAGATTGAGGGGGAGTGTTAGATGATGAGTTAGTTAGTTTGGTGAATGAACCTGGACATGAGTTGTAGATGAAGGTGGTATAGGATAGATCTCTATCCAGAGTTTGTTGTAGTCCATACTTGATGTACAAGCCACGCCGGGGGCTCTTCCCGGCTCATATAACACGCAACCGAGATCCCTAGGAGGGCATCTCGTTCTACTCACTTTTACATAAATTACCTCCCTGGCATGATTAAAAGTGGTTTTTCCATTTTATAATTATATAATTATAGTAAATACTTAAATAAGGTTTTAAACTATAAAATATCTCTAAGATTATTGAATTTTGATAGAAATACCAGCAATAGATTGGGACCTATAAACCTAAATAAAAATATTTAGAGGCCGTGAAAAATATAACTAGAAGCTTTTAGGAATTATATTTAACTCTAGGAATGGGAAGAATATCTAGGAAAATCTCAAAAATATCTAAACGTTCTAATCAATGAATAAACGTGTTCCCAAGATTTTTCACAACAAAAACACATTCAACATTAATGTTGGTTTGAATGTTGATCACATCTCGTGTTTTATAGTGAAAAGTTTTAGAAAAACATTTAAACATTAATTAAAATACTTTGGAAAAATCAAGTTTGTATGAATATTTTTCTCTATTGTTCTAGAGATAAACCTATTTTTATGGAAACTTTCAATATATTTTCGTGTTTTTAGATATTTTTGGGGTTTCTTCTTTTGTATTCTATCTATAGGATTTTTCTATTTTTTTTAAAAAACTCGACCCACGGGGTATGACAGCCCGAACATTGTGCTTAAGAAGAACACCTTCTCACGACGTGCAGAGCTCATGTGAGACTGGACTAGACCTTAGACCTATGCTTTGAACGTGGAACAGACGAGGGAATTTTTTTACAATGGGCAAACTTGCGCATGTAGAGGTGGGAGTCGAACTCCCGACCTAGAGCTGCCCACAACGGAGTGCTACCAACCGAGCTATCAGCTTGTCCGCTTCTCAAAAATTTTAGAAGTGTAGAGATCATTTTCGTGGTTTAAAAACCTCAATAAGTGTTTATCATAATTTTTAATATAAATGACAAAAACATCCTGAAAAACCACTTATAGTTGGAGCAAAAAGGTAGCATCTCCAAAGAGTTCATAATAAAGTCTCCCAATCTAGAAATTTTGGCAAGAATGGAAAAAACATATCTCCAACAATTCCCAATCCCACCTCCCAATCTTTCCGTGCTTGGAAAAATAGACCGATGGCGCCTATATATCCCCGTGCTAGACACATGTATCCATTAGCTAATCTAAAAGTGAAAGGGCGTGGAAAAGAATAAGGAGTTGGAAATGGTTCGTGATGCAAATGTATAAGAGAGAAAAAATATATAAAAGTGGTTATGATAATTTTGAAATAGTATATGATTCTCGATGTAAAATTGTTTTCTATATTTTAGGAGTGAATTATTGAAAACTGTTGGAGATGATCTTATTAGTTTGTTCCAATAATTTTTGACAAGTTAGGAAAACTCTATGGTTTTGAAAAGAAATTGTTGGGAACTCTTGGAGATGCTTTTTTTTCTTGATCGTAGGCATTAAGTATTTTTGGCGAGCTATATGATGATCAGATTTATAAGTAAGTATATATTGTAAAATATGAGCAACACCAAATCCTTCTAAAGCCCAAACTTTAATTTCTCCTGTTAGTTTTGAGATTGAGGCAGGCGAGTTTTTTTTAGCAAAATTTGAGGCAGGCGAAGTGAGAACCTGAACTACGACGACATTTTAGTTTTTATTAGAGGCAAAAATGACCTCCCTTGGCTGGAATGCAGCAACAATCGGCCCCTTACATTTTCCTTGGAGATTTAAACCCGCTGGATGGAAATCAGATTCCGCAAAGCCCACTGATTCTCCATAGGTAGCCAGCAATTGGAGCAGTAAAATTAGCTCCCTCCAGCTCAAGGAACGACTTCACTTGGAAGTCAAAACACATGGGAACAACGGTAGCCATTCAATGAGAAGCCAAACACCGTGCCCCCCTCATCATGCTTTTAAATAGATAATGGTGGCCCCGTACGCATGTCTATCTCGTCTCGTGTTCGCACAGTTCAATCTCGCGGCATTCCCACGTCGAGAAGTGCCTGATGGCCGTCATGGCGCAGAAGACCGTGATCCTCTACCCTTCGCTGGGAGTCGGCCATCTGAACCCCATGGTGGAGCTGGCCAAGGTCTTCCTCCGCCGTGGCCTAGCCGTCATCATCGCTGTCGTCGAGTCGCCAGACAAGGACTCCGTGTCGGCCGAGGCGCTGGCCCACCTCGCCGCCGCCAACATGGACATCGCGTTCCGCCGCCTCCCAGTCCTGTCCCGCGGCACGGAATCTTGCTCTCACCCGGTCATGCGCACCATCGACGTGCTCCGCGTCGCCAACCCCGTGCTTCTGGGCTTCCTGCGTACGCTCACCGCTGTCGACGCCATCGTGCTCGACATGTTCTGCATGGGCGCGCTCGACGTCGACGCCGAGCTCAACATCCCGGCGTACATCTTCTTCTCCTCCGCGCTAGGCGATCTCGCCATCATGCTCCACATGCCGTACTACTACCCTACCGCTCCGTCCTCGTTCAAGGACATGCCCAAGACCGTGCTGCACTTCCCTGGCGTGCCACCGATCCGCGCGCTCGACATGGGGGCGGCGATGCAGGACCGGGACAGCGACGTCGCCAAGGCACGGCTGTCCCAGTGCGCGCGCATGATCGAAGCGAGGGGCATTCTCGTGAATAGCTTCGACTGGCTGGAGGCACGGGACCTGGAAGCGCTCAGCCGTGGCCTCTGCACGCCGGGGCGCTCGGCTCCGCCAGTTCACTGCATCGGACCGCTGGTCCTTCCCGGAAACAGGGGAGGGGCCAGCGAGAGGCACGCGTGTCTGGAATGGCTGGACACCCAGCCCGACCAGAGCGTCGTTTTCCTCAGCTTCGGCAGCCTGGGGAGGTTCTCGGCGCCGCAGCTGAGAGAGATAGCACGTGGGCTGGAGAACTCCGGGCAGAGGTTCTTGTGGGTCGTTCGGAACCCGCCTGAGCACCGGAGCAACTCCGTCGTGCCGGACCTGGAGTCGTTGCTTCCTGAGGGTTTCTTGGAGCGTAGAGCGAGGTGCTATGGCACCGATCCATCGGTGTGTTCGTGACGCATGGCGGGTGGAACTCGGCGTTAGAGGGCATCGCGTCTGGCGTGCCGATGATCTGCTGGCCGTTATACGCGGAGCAGAAGATGAATAAGGTGCACATGGTGGAGGAGCTGAAGGTTGGCGTGGTGATGGAGGGGTACGAGGAGGAGCTGGTAAAGGCGGAGGAGGTGGAAGCAAAGGTGAGACTGGTGATGGCGTCTGGGTCCGGCGACGGGAAGGAGCTTAGGCAGAGGCTCTTGACGGCCATGGAGATGACCGTAGAGGTTCTCAAGGAAGGTGGCTCATCTGACCTGGCGTTTGACGCGTTCTTGACAGACTTGCTAAAGAACACCTGTACGGGGAAAAGTGGCTTGTGAGATGTGCAACAGTTCTCTGTTTTTGGATTTTGACTGCCTTTCCCAGATTGCCCAAAAAATAGCTGGAAGTGAAAGAATCATTTTCTCCGCCCCGGGTCTGGGTGCCCGTGTATGGGCCTGGACATGCGCTACATTAGCGCAATAGATTCTGCAATTGTGGCAATAAGATTTTAAACTTTGCTAAAAAAAAGATTTTAAACGACTTTTATAGCGGCACTTTGATGTGTTGCTAACCTGTCATTTACATTTTGCACATATGTGGAGGATGCTATGTGCACAAGGAAAACAATCAGGATGTATCATTGTTGTTGTTTTTAGATCCGGAATTTCTGGTATGTATTAATAATAAGAAGAGGCTTGGTCTAGTTTATGAGCAAAATCGGGTTCGAAAACCGGCAAACACTATTTAGAAATTACACTGTCTACAACTATCACAACATATGACGAAGCCCATTATTGTCATCATTGCCAAGCTTTTCCTAATGATAAGCAGTTTTTTTTAACATATAAGCAGTTTTGACTTCACAGCGAAGGTCCCCAGCCTTGTCTTAAGCTTTGAGCAACAATGAGACAAAAACTTCGTCGAATCATCAAGTGGCTGCCAGGTCCAACACGTCTAAATACGAAGTTTACCACCAAAGTCCTTGTTTTCAACCATTGTCCAAGACCAATTACAAATATGAGCCATCATTGGCGAGCTCGTTGACACCTCAACGCAACAGCTCCGACTTCTCAAAACTTTGTAATTAGGCACTGCCACTAGTCAAGAGGAACCAAGCATGATGCAGGATTCCACGATAATACCTCTAGAAAGGATACGACGCCAAAACCTCTAACCCACGAATGGGCTAGGTTATCGCCGTAGAAACCCGGCAAGGTAGGACTGGGTGAACGGAGGAAGCGGTACCCATAGTTGTCTCTATTCGGGCTTACACCTTGACCTCAACCGGCCAACCCCTGTCGAAAGCAGTTGGGCCTAGACATGCTGGAAGGACCGCTTAGATGCCTAGAGGGGGTGGGTGAATAAGCTCTACAAACTTTTAAGACAAAAGTTAGCATATAAAATCTTTACAACACAGGCAAACCCGGTCAGACCGGGATCACAACCCGGTCAGGCCAACTCTAGGTCAGACCGGGATCATAACCAGGTCAGACCGGGATTGTCAGTACTTCCGGTAGCTATCGGAAGTTCCGACACTTCTGCGCCCAAAAGTGCTTCGAGCCTTTTGCCCCTTAATGTAGATGCAACTTGGAGTATAGAAATGATTATAGATATGTGAATGATTTCACACAGCTCCTGCAAACACAAATCACCACACTCGAGTAGCACAAGCGGAATCACAAATAATATATGCAATGTAAACAAGTGTGAGGCAAACCAAAGGAGAGACACGAGGATTTGTTTGACCAGAGTTTGAAACACCCAAAGGTGCCCTACATCTCCGAAACGGTCTCTTTCCACCAATTCCACTAAGGAGAGTCTTCTTTCCTCTTTCAGCAGGAAGACGAGCCCTTCTTACAATGGCCACCACAGCAGCCCACAACACCCTCGGGTGCTTGTCGGTGACACTTTGCCACCTAGGAACAAACTTCCAAGAGAAACAAATGCAACGAACTAGAATTCTTCAAGTTGCTCAACTACTCAAGATTGGGACAGCTCGCACAATGTCTCTCAAGCCCTCTAAAGCCACCAAGGCAAGCTCACAAAGATTGGCTCACTCTCTAATCAAAGAATATGGAAGTTTGGAGTTAGAACACTCACAAAGAGGAAGAGAGGAGTGGCCAAGTGCTTCCGGTCTTGTGTGGAAGTGGGGAGAACTAGTGGGGAGAACTAGCAGCGAGAAAAGGAGGAGAAGGAGAGGTATAAATAGCCACCAAAGCCAAACTAGCCGTTGGGCTGAGTCAGCAAACCCGGTCTAACCGGGATGAGAACCCGGTCTGACCGAGATTCAAACTGAACTAGCCGTTGGGCTAAAGTCGGTCTGACCGGGATGAAACCCGGCATGACCTACTCCCGGTCTGACCGACATGTCATCCTGGTATGACCGAGTTTGACTGGCAAGCTAGAATTTTGGAGTTTTCTCTCACTCTTTCTTTCTCACATAGGATAACTTGAGCACTATTATTGCTTGTCTCAAACTTCAGTGATGCATCCCTCTTAAGTGTGGCAAAACTCAACTCAAATAAATATAAAATGATTTGAACCACCAATTGAGCTTTTCTTCAACTTAGACTTGATTGCCACTTTGATCATGCAATGTTGAGGGTCTTCATCACTTCAACTTCTTGTGCTTGTCCATCTTGAGCATGTGACTCATGTCTAAGGTTTCAAGTCACAATGAACATTTGATTTGATCTTCCACATTGATAAACACCACTTGATTAGTGCCTCAACTAAATGCAAGTAAATTCCTTCTTCACTTTTAGCTAGGTCCATCGGCTGCCAAGCCATCGCTTGTCCTTCACCTTTCGCTTAGTACCTCAAAGAGATTTCCTTGCTATCTTCACCTTCTCAAGATTAACATGTCTTGTCAATGATTCTAACTAAGATATGAATACCATTTGATTTGCATTGTTGTCTTGTGCTTGAACTAGATTGTATCCAATAATCCTCACAAGCTTGACAACTATCTTTGGTATTTGTTCATGCAAGCTTTATAGTTGAGACCATTGCATATGCAACACTTTGTCTCATTTATTTGATATCACACTTGCTTGCAAAACCTTGCTTCATAATAAACCTTGAACTTAGTTTGACATTTATATGATCACCACACATTATATGAGTCCAACACATAATAATTCACCTGGGACAAAATACCTGCAGGTCTCATAAATATTATTAGTCCCTTAATCGTGTTGTCATTCAATGTGCCAAAACCCACAAGGGCCTAGATGCTCTTTTTCACATGGTAGTAGTAAGGTTGCTTACCAACTATGGGAAAACACCCTTGGCGGCAAAAACAACATAATGCAGGGAGAAAACACAAAGGACCCAATGGGGACCACGAAGTTAATGCATATTCACTTGGTTTGAACCACCCACTGCCAGAGTTGACCATTGAAAGGTCCTAATGACTAGAGGGGGTGAATAGCCTATTAAAAAAATCTACAACAACACTAAGCTAAATGGTTAAACAAATATGAAACAAATCAAGTTTTGCGCTAGTCTACTAAAAATACAAGCCACCTACCACAATTCTAGTAGCTATAACTCTATGTAACACACAAAGGGCTAAGTCACTACCTCTAAGTTAGTGAGCTCTCAAAGACTAACTAAAGAGCCTCACTAACCACTAACAAGACACAAGCTAGCTCTCAAAACTAATTACTCTAAAGAGCTTAGCTACACTAGGAAAGTAATGCAAGAGAGGTAGGATATACCGTTGTGGCAAGTGATCAATCACAATGAATACCAAGAATACCAAGGAGACAATGATGACACAATCAATTTTTCCTCCAAGGTTCACTTGCTTGCCAGCAAGCTAGTCCCCGTTGTGGTGATTCACTCACTTGGAGGTTCACGAGCTAATAGGCATCACATGCCTAACCCGCAATAGGGTGCCGCACAACCAACACAAGATGAGGATCCACAAGCCATGTGCAATCCACTAGAGTTGCCTTTGGCACTCCATCGGGGAAGGCACAAGAACCCCTCACAATCACAATGATCGGAGCCGGAGACAATCACCTTCCTCCGCTCGACAATCCACCAATCACCGGGCCGTCTAGGTAGATCACAAGAGTAACAAGATCTCCACCAGCCCAAATCGCCCAACTAGTGCCACAAGATGCTAGACCACTAAGCAATGCACTAGAGGCTCTCCAATCTCACTCAAGATGATGAAATCAAGTGTGCAAGTGAGTGGAGTGGAGTGCTCAGCTCTCAAAGGGTGTATGCAGCTATTAAAAGTGCCAAGAGGGTGGCCAAGTCTAGCCACCACCTCTACTTATAAGCCCACAAGCAAATAGAGCCGTTACCCCTTGGAGCCAGCTTCTACGAGGTCACCAGACATGGCGGTGGTGGCACCGCCCTATAACACCCCCGGTGTTACACCATAAATCATTTACTAAAACATGTCATGAACATCATGTTTATGTGTTAATGCATGTAATAAAGTGTGTAGATCAATTTCGATAACTTGAAATGGTCAACTAAAATGCGAAACGAAAGTTGATTCGATAGTTATGTTATACACTTAGGGTTTAAAACCATTTTTATTAAGCAAAAATGCTATAGAACATATATGTGTCACATTAATAAAGTTGAAAGTATAAACTTTGTAGATGACAGTGAAATACTTGCGGTCGAAAAATGATATTACTAGCTAATATTTTCACTAGCTTAGAAATCGCAAATGAAAATCAAATTCAGCTCAAAAACTTAGGAATTTTCAAGTCTGTCAACAGTTTGACATTGCTATATTTATCAATTTATTGTGAGAGATTGGGTTAAGCAGTGGTGTAGTGTTATAGCTCGATTTGGTAGTCTCATGTGCCATCTTGAGCATGGTGAAGATGGTTTAGGTTTAGGAGCAACCGTTTGGTTGTGTTGAGCGCTTTAAAATTCTTGCGCGTTACCGGTTTTGGGCTGGTTGGTCGCGTGGCCGCGATCACCGCACTTGGGCACTCGGTGTTGTTGTGTTGGTCACAGGTGCATGTGCGCGTGCTGCCATGCTCGGCCGGCCATGGCCGCCTCTGGCTTGGCCATGACTCGGTTGCCGCTGCCGCTGGCCCCGCCGCACGAAGCCACTGCTGCTACCACCTGCCCCGTCCCACGCTGTGCTGCCGACGTGTCCGCCACTGCTCCTCGCATCGCGACGCTGCTGCTGCCGTCGCATCATCGTCGCGTTTGGGCCAGTCCACTGCACCTCTACACTGTTGCCGCCCCTGTGCGCGTCGCCTCTGCCGCGCGCACGTGGGTGAGCCACCGTCGCCATGCCATTTATGGCACTACGGCGTGTGGGCCACGCCGGTCGGACACGCGCACATGTTGTCCG